CAGCACAGCTTTACGGCGCCTCGAGTGTGAAATTATCGGGGACAATATTTGCCCCTTTAATTTCACACCCTCTCGGGCAAAAAAAATCGCGGCTCAGGATTGGGGGGTGTGAAATTATCGAGAATAGGGTGTACGCTTCACCTGTCCCCCGTGACTTCCGCATCATGGTCCATGCACGACTCTCGCTCTCCGTTCCCCTTCGCACGCTGCCATTTCATTTGCAAGACGGATTCCTTTTTAGGTCAGTTCGAAAACATCCCAGACCGTAAACCAGCCCTGCAAAGCAACCCCCCAGCAAAGCGTTACATCCCAAGAAGAGCTTTCGCAGATGGAAGTCCGAACAGACAAAAGAGGCAGTCAGTCTACTACCAGCGGCAGCGAGGCACACCGACTTTCCCATTCCCACCCCCGCGCCGAGAGGAAAAAGGGGCGGGCTCGGGGAAAGGGAAGGATGGGAGAGGGATGGATCGAGGATTCGCATTGCACAAATCGGGAGATATTAGTACAGTGTACAATAGAGTTGAGTCGAGAGAGTCGTGAGCTGTTGGCCGTGAGTCGTCGTGACTCGTGATGGCTGCACTGCCTGTCAGTCAACCAAGGTTGGCGCAACTGCCCACTTGTGTCAGACAGTGTTTCTGGTACAAGCAGCAAGCTCGCTTGCTGGTGCATGGTTGCTCTGCGCGCCGCCCGTCGGACGCGGCGGAGGGGGGATGCTAGCAGCGGTATATCGAGTTGATTGCCCAAGTCAAGCATGCAGTGCAGGAGCAAGGTGTGCGTCAGACGTGTGGTTCTGTGTACAGAAACACTAGTGTGAAGAGATTAGCCACATCATCAGTGCAGTAAACGTTTCACAAGCGCGAGTGGTGCTTCTGTCGCTGGGTGCTCCGCTCCCATGTGTGACGCCATTTGTCTCGCTGCGATTCGGTGTGATGCGAGTGTTACAGAACGGGATTCCATGCATCGCAACTTGTACAGTACACTCGTAACGCCCCCCACTGCTGCACTCGGCTTCGAATCCCGACCCGTTGCATCCAATACGCGTACTGTACAGGTCTCGCTGACGTGGTTCACTGCCGCTATGACTGTACTATAGTGGCTAGCACAGTAGAATCCAGACCAGACCCCAGATCCAGAGACCGCTAAGTCTGCTAGGGGTGCATAGAGTGCAGCAGAGCAGACCCGACTCGAGACTCCGTCCAGATTCCATCCGTGCCCCTTAGTGATGCATGATGCTGCGCGGTGCATACCTCAACTCGATTGGCAGTCCCAGTGAGCCAATCGATTAGGTGAACTGTACAAGAGGAAACGCTTCCCGCCCACTGGTCTCGCGGTATGGCTCCTACCCTCCCCTTCCCCCCTCTTCCCCCCTCTTCCCCCCTCTTCCCCCCTCTTCCCCCCTCTTCCCCCCTCTTCCCCCCTTCCCCCCCCCCCCTTCCCGTCCCCCCCGCTTTCCCCCATTTTCCCCCACCCGCGGCCGCTCCCTCGCTCTCTCTCTCGCCCCGCCACTCCTCATCATTCCACCTATATTTTAGGCCTCCCTGAGTGGCCGTAAATCATACTTCAAGTTGTGCACAGCGGGGCCCATAGTTGCATGTGCAGCGCATTGCTGTTTCGACCGTCCAACCTGCTGAGCGTTTCTTTCTTTGTTTCTGCTGGCTTGTAAGTGGTGTTGCTGCTGGTGCTAGCGTCCTAGCACTACTAGCAATACCTGTGCGTTAATTTCCGCAGGTTCATTCGCGTAGAGAGCCCATTCAAGCAACGACTCACTCATATTTTACTCCTGGAGTCGCTCGCTCATTGACAAACTCCGTCAACGTCAACGTCATCGTCAACGTCATCGTCATGGATCTTTCCACGGCTCTCCTGCTGCTGCTCGACGGCAGCATCCGCATCCTCACCAACTTGAACCTCCATCCCGACGACTGCGATCCCGCCGCCTCCTCGCACCGCTCTCTCTACGCGGACCCCACGGAGTTCTTCCTCTCCCACTCGCTCCCTAACTCGCTCCCACACACCGCCGACAGTCGCAGCACACGCAAGGCGTCGCTTCCGTTTGCGTTTGCTTTTACGTCTGCCGCTGGGGATATTATTCAGAAACCTCTTCAAAGTCACGGCGAGCGCGGCTCGACGAGTCTTCCGCTCTCTCCGCGCGGCCATCTCCTCTCCGCGCCCCCCCACGCCCCCGCGCAACTCCCCACGGCGCCCCCCCTTCCCCCGCCGGCGCTCCTTGTGCGCGATGTGCTGCGCGAGTTCCCCGGATGCGCGCTGGGCACGCTGGAGTCCTCGCGCGCGCACCTTCCGCCGTCCGCGCGCATCCAGGCCGGCGGGGTGTACTTCCTTCTGCCGACGAGTCGTCGGGACGAAGGGCGCGCCGCGGCCCCCGCTGAACAGCGCCGTCAAGACCGTCGCGATCGCCGTCAAGATCGCCAAGACCGTCAAGACCGTCAAGATCATCAAGACAGCGAGATTGATGATGAGCTGTCACCGTCAAGGATCGCGGCTACGCGGCGTGGACGTGCGGCGGCAGTAGCAGACGCATCGACGGCGCAGAATGACAATAACGAGGGTTCTAATAACCAAGACCATAATGATGAGTCATCCGAAGCGCCCGTGACGATGTTGCTGGCGGTGCCTCGCTGCAGTTCCGACCCTCAGTGTGGAAGGACAGACGGCCGGCGAGCTCTGCTTGCGCTCATGCAACGAGCGCAGACAGTCGCGACGGCAGGAGCAGGAGCAGAAGCAGAAGCAGGAGGGAATATTTCGGCTGCTGGTGCCGATGACGTTGGTCGTGCAGACGCGCCGTGTGCTACGTCCCAAAAAATGGTTGGAATTTCGTCGATTCCGGATCAGCATGATTGCAGCGAAGGTTACTCTTGCATAGCAGCCAGACAGCACGAGGGCATCACGCCAGGAGCATATGATGTTACGTATGCGGTGAAAAGGCTAGCCCACTGCTGCTCCCTCCCTTCCTTTAGCACCATTAATGCCATCAGCGCCAACTTCAGCAATGGCTGCAGCATGAGCGGAAATGCGAGTAGTGTCAGCGTCTTTACGACTACTACCTCTCCTGGTGCTGCTCGTGCTGCTGTTTCGTCTCCTGTTTCTGCTTGTGGTGGGGACTCCAGAATGGCTTGTCACCATGGGGTTATGGGGTCATTGCATTCACCAGAAGCCAGCTTGTTGACTTCTTGTGGCAATTATCAACCCCAGCAGCAGCAGCAGCAGCAGCAGAATATGGGGGCGCTTGAAAGGAGCCAGTTGAGGTGGTGGAGACAACACCACATGAGAGATGTGTCGGCTGCTGTGGCCAAGACGAGCTGCTCACAAGTGTAAAGACATTTCTGCAGTTTCTTTTTTTTCCTCCGGCTGAGTCGATGAACACACCGGAGCTGATGACTGTCAGCATTTGAGGAAACAAGCGCATTGGTCATACGTTGCATTGACAGGTTGCCTGATCATCATGTTTTCCTCTTCAATGCTTTGTTGATAATAAATTGCCTTTTGTATAGGGTAGAGCTACCAATATAAGAATCTTATGTACAATCCCTTTTCTCTTTATATATACAAGGGTTTCATGCCTCGGCTAAGCAGTGGGAACATCGGCGACATGAAGGGAGATGGTCCCCTAACACGGAACACCGAACACGGAACACGGAACTCGATCAGCAGGGCACTGCTGCTGATGCGACTGCTGGTTACCCTTTTACAAAGCTTCCTTTCAGCCCTTTTTTCGCTTGGTATTGCGCTTCTCCCTGTTGATTGGTAGAGGAAGGAGTGACCGTTGTGAGCCATCCAATCAGTTTGTCCGTGGGGGCGTCAATGGTTCGCATGCTTCGTCCAAACCTTCTGCACAGCCTTCGCGTGTGTCGCCGAAGCCTTTGGAACAGCTGCTGATTCTGGTGTTTCGCGAATGTCGTTTACCATGCGAACACACCATCAACAATGAAGAGCCATCTAGAAACACCAAGTCGGCATTAGTTTCTCACATCTTAGTTACTGTGCATCCCAGCACATTCGGGTCGTAGTCGCTGCGTTCCCTTGCTATGTCCGTGCCGTATCGCGTCTCCCTGCGCATTAGTATTTGCGGCAGCGTTTCTACTTGCTGCTGACAGGCTTTCGCCGTGTAAGGTGCAGACAGACGAAGGGGTGTTCCGGTGGTCGAGAATCGGCCCGTGCAGGATGTATTCAGGGCCGTCGGGATTCCGTGAGTCACGACGTGTTTCTCAGTGCTTACTAAGGACAGAACACCAAGGAGCGCTTACGCGTCGTGCTAGTGTGCTCAGAGGGTGCTCACTAGCGGGTTCTCACCAAAGGGTCCTCATTAAAGAGTTCTCACCACGTGAAGGAGTGCTCGTTAGTCGTGCTAGTGTACAGTCTGGCGTGTGTTACCATCGACCTGTTTTTTCGTTCTCAATTGCTACTTTGCCTGCATCTCTCGACTAGCCGCCACGCGTAACGGTCTGGCCGCCCAGGGATGCGGCCGGGATGTCCGTTCGTGTGAGCTGTTTCGTGATTTATTTTGGAAATTCTTAAGAAGAGAGAAACAAGCATGGCTCGTTAAAGTCGAATCTAGTCGCGGCGGCCGAGCCGTTCGTTTCGTTTTGAGCCAGCCATTTTCGTAAATGCCTGGCTGTTTCGCGATCCACGCTGCTTCGTCTGGCCCGTGCGAACGTCTTCACTAGACCCGCTCGAGCCCTCGCTGTTCCCCCGGTAGTGATCCCCGCCATGCGGTGCTTCATTTCCGAATACTTTTCTTCGTCAAAATGCCATCGTTTTGCCGCGATTGCGCCTAACCTCCCTCGCAGATTGTTCCCCCTTCCCCCCCGTCCCACCACCCCCCTCCTCCCTCCCACCCCCCCCCCCCCCCGCCCCCCCCCCCACCCCCTTTCCCCCCTCCACACACCACCCCCACCCCTCTTCCCACACTCGCTGCCAGTTTGTTAGTTCGCCGCCCTCTCATCCTCCTCCTCCCCCAATCCCTCCCTCCCTCCTTTCCCAGCATGCCGTCGTGCAACCCCCATTGTTCCCCGTCACCCCGCCCTCCATCACCCTATTCACCAGAAGGGACCGCGCCAATCACAAAGGCCATCCCCGCCACGATCAGTCCTTATCACTTCCGCGAATCCCCATCCCACTGTGTCCCACCACACCCCGCCATACCCCCCACCCCACCATACCGCGCCATACCCCGCCATACCCCACCATACCCCGCCATATCCCCCCACACCTCCTTGCTCCCCCCATCCCCTCCCCCCTTCCCCCCTCCCGCCCCCCTTCCGCGTGCCCTCCCCCTCCCCCGTGTGCCATGCCACGGAGGGCGCGCCAGCAACGAAGGCCATCATCCTTGTGTGTTCTTGAGGCGCCTAAAAAATCATCCCGTCCCCCTTCCCATGCCCTTCCCTTCCCCCTCCCCTTCCCCCTCCCCTTCCCCCGTGCGCCATGCCACAGAGGGCGCGCCAGCAACGAAGGCCATCATCCTTGTGTGCGCAGCGCTGTCTCTCGTGCTCTCCTCGCGCTCTGCACACTCCTCCCACCACCCCTTCGCACTCTCCCGAGAGGTTCGCTCGCTCCTTCCCTGCACCCCCACCCCCACTTCCACCTCCTTTTGCTGCTGCTGCTGCTGTTGCCTTTGCCCCTGCTGCTGCTGCTGCTGATGCTGAAACTGCCGCCGCCGCCGCCGCCGCTGCAGCAGCTGGTGCTGCCTCCGCCTTAAACCCACCCTGCCCTTGCCGCCTCCCGCACTCCCGCATCCTTGCCCTCTGCCTGCCACTTTCCCCCCCGCACCGCACCCGTTCACCAGGCCCTGGTGTCGCGCGGGGAGTGGTGGCGTGTGGCCCTGTCGCAGGTGTGTGTGGGCAGCACGGCCGACCTGCTGGTGTGTGCGCTGCTGCTCTACTCCTTCCGCTTCTTTGAACGCCAGCTCGGCTCCGCCAAGTTCGTGGTGAGGCTGCGTGGTGGGTGGGCATGGGGATGGGGATGGGCGTGGGGTTTCGGCTGGGGATGAGACTTGGGAATGGGAAGGGTGGGTGGGTGGTGGGTGGTGGGTGGTGGTTGGTGGTGAGACTGGATGTGTTTGGAAGGTTTGTGCTGCTTGGGAGAGGAGTTTCGTGTGGGTGAGAGAGAGAGAGAGGCTTGGGCATCAGAGTCAGGCCTGCTGGTGTGTGCACTGCTGCTCTACTCCTTCCGCTTCTTTGAACGCCAGCTCGGGTCCGCCAAGTTCGTGGTGAGGATGGGGATGGGGATGGGGATGGGGATGGGGATGGGGATGGGGATGGGGATGGGGATGGGGATGGGGATGGGGATGGGGATGGGGATGGAGTTTTCTGGGCGGGATTCACAGGTATGTGACAAATGTGCAGATTTGGTTGGGGCACGTGTGTGCTTGCCGAACGTTTTTGCACATGTGTCCCATGCCTCATGCTCCGTGTCCCATGCCCCATGTCGCATGCCCCATGCCCCATGCCCCATGCCCCCTGCCCCTCCCGTGCCCCGTGCCCATGCCCCGTGCCCCGTGCCCCGTGCCCCGTGCCCCGTTCCCCATGCCCCATGCCCCATGCCCCATGCCCCGTGCCTCACAGGTTCTCTGCACCTTCTCTTCTGTGGTCGCGCTCGCCTTTCAACTCCTTATCGTCCTCCTCCTGCCCTGTGAGTTCACCTCATCTTCTTGCATGTCTTGCCACTCATCTTCCTGCGCATGTTGCTCATGCTGTTACTACCCTTGTTACTCTTGTTGCTCCGGTTGTTACTGCTGCTCTTCTTTGCTCAACACCCTTGCGCTCTCTCTTCCAACACACTCCCCATCCTCCTACACTCCCCCGTGTCCCTCCCTCCCTCCTTCGCTTCCCCGTTCCCACCTCCCCCACATTCGTTCTCCCATCCCCCACATCCCCCCCTTGCCCACCTCCCGCCCCCATTTCCCCCATCCCCCATCCCCCCCATCCCCCCCATCCCCCCCATCCCCTCCATCCCCCCCATCCCCCCCATCCCCCCCATCCCCCCCATCTCCCCCATCCCCCCCATCCCCCCCATCTCCCCCATCCCCCCAATCCCCCCCATCGACCCCCATCCCCCCCATCCCCCCCATCCCCCCCATTGCCCACCTCCCGCCCCCGTTTCCCCCATCCCCCCCATCTCCCACATCTCCCCCATCCCCCACATCCCCCCCTCTCCCCCGCCATCAGCCCCAGCAGCCTCTCTCCTAGACGACCCACCGCCCTCCTTCCATCCAGCCCCGGGTCCCCTGGGGCTGCTCTTCGCTCTCTTCCTGCTCTTCTTTGCCGATGTGCCTCCCACCGCCCGCTACCTCCTGCTCTCCCGTGTTCCGCTCTCCGATAAAGCCCTCGTGTACCTGGGCGGGATGCAGGTGAGAGGCTGGGGGGGAGGGGAGGTATTTGGAGGGGAGTGTGTGGAGGGAAGGGTGTGGAGGGAAGAGGGTGGAGGGAAGGGTGTGGAGAAAGGTAGGACTGCAGGTGATGGGAGATGTGCCAGCCTCCCACCGCCCGCTACCTCCTGCTCTCCCGTGTTCCGCTCTCCGATAAAGCCCTCGTGCACCTGGGCGGGATGCAGGTGAGAGGCTGGGGGGGAGGAGGTGTGTGTGGAGGGGAGTGTGTGGAGGGGAGTGTGTGGAGGGGAGTGTGTGGAGGGGAGTGTGTGGAGGGAAGGGTATGGAGGGAAGGGTATGGAGGGAAGGGTATGGAGGGAAGGGTATGGAGGGAAGGGTATGGAGGGAAGGGTATGGAGGGAAGGGTATGGAGGGAAGGGTGTGGAGGGAAGGGTGTGGAGAAAGGTTGGACTGTAGGTGATGGGGGATGTGTCGGCCTCCCATTGCCTGCTACCTCCTGCTCTCCCGTGTTCCCCTCTCCGTTAAAAGCCGTCTTGTACCTGGGAGGGCTGCAGGTGGGGAAGTGGTGAGGGGGGAGGTGAGAGAAGTGCGTGTGTGAACTGAGTGGTGCAGGTGAGAGGAGGAGGGCGGGTGAGGGGGGGACAGTGAGAGCGAGAGAGGAAGGCACACACACGTGAGGGGTAGGGTAGGAGCAAGGTTCCATGTGAGTCACGAGATATGTGACTTTTGAGTCGACTCAAAAGTCACCTCGTAGGAGCAAGGTTCCATGTGAGCAACGAGATATGTGGTGTCAAGATTGGCTGGCTGGCTGGCTAGATGCTTGGTTCAAAATCACCCCTCTTGCCTTCCTTACTATGTTTTACTGGTTCGTCCTCTTTCCCACTCCCTCTCTCCTCTGGCTGTATCTCACTTCCAAATCCACTACTCCCCCTCCCTCCCCTCCCTCCCCCCCTCCCCTCTCTTTCCATCCGCAGCTGCTCTTCTCCTCAGGTCTCTCCTCCATCGTGCCTGCTGCAGCTGGGATTGTAGCAGGCGCACTCTATCGCTGCAACGCCCTGGGAGTGCGCAAGGCCAAGGTGGGATGGGGCAGGGCAAGGTGGGATGGGCAGGGCAAGGTGGGATGGGCTGGCCAGGGCGGGGTGGGGAAGCGACGTGCCTGTGAGGCTGTGCCTGGCTCAAACAGTGATGACTCTGGGTGACAGTCAGTCCCTTGTTTGTGTCGTACGGATGACTAATTACACCTCGTCTGTGTACCTGCTCTTGCTCTTGCTCGCACCGTTCTCTGCCTCAACTTCTCGAATGGTCCTTTCGTTAATATAGGCCAAGGTACAGCACATGCATGCTTGCAAGGTTGGTGTGGTGTGGTGAGTCTATAGATTCCTGTCCTACCTAGTCACCTAGTTGCCTTCGTTAGGGGGCTCGAGGGATGCAAAGCAATCCCCCGGGTTCAGCGCCCCCTCCTCAACTTCTCTCTCTCTCTCTCTCTCTCTCTCTCTCTCTCTCTCTCTCTCTCTCTCTCTCTCTCTCTCTCTCTCTCTCTCCTATTCTCAGGTGCCATATCCCATCCTCTGTCTCTCCCGCCTCCCTTCCCCTCCTCCCCACCTCCCCACTTCCCCCTCTTCCTCCCCTCGTCCCCACCTTTCGACTTTCCCCCTTCCTCCCCACCTTCCCTCCTCTCCTCCTCTCTTCCTCCCCATGCCAGGTGCCGGACAGCATAGCTCGCTTTGCCTCCACGTGGATCGCCCCTCTTCTCCTCTCGACCTCGGGTTCCTTCTCACCCTCCTCCCCAACTCTCCCTCCCCATGCCAGGTGCCTGACAGCATTTCTCGCTTTGCCTCCACGTGGATAGCCCCTCTGCTGCTCTGGCCCTCGGGTTCCTTCTCGCCCTCCTCTGCTACCACTGCCGCTCAGCTTCAGCAGAGGCGGCAGCAGCAGCAGCAGCTGCGCCAGCAGTTGCAGCAGCAGCGGGGAGGGCACCAACACCAACACATGCCGGTGAGTTCTGAGGCGACTTAAAAAGTCAGCAGCAGCGAGCAGGGCACCAACACATGCCGGTGAGTTATGGGGCAATTCAAGAAGCAGCAGCAGCGGGCGGGCAGGGCACCAACACATGCCGGTGAGATGAAGAAAGAACTACCGCCTTGCTACCCCCCTCACTACCCCCCCTCACTACCCCCCCTCCCGGTCTTTCCTTCTACTACCCTCTTTTCCCCTCCGTCGCCTCCCTCAGCCCCCCCCTCCCCACTAGCACTGGTGACAGAGCCATCAGCAGCGCACATAGAGTCGCTAGTAGCCATGGGGTTTGAGCGCGCAGTACTAGAGGCAAGACATGGCAGAAACAGCGGGTAACACAGGAATGGAAGGGCCACCGCCTTGCTGCACTCACTGTCCCCCTCTCTACCCCGCTCCCCTCTTCCCTCCCTCACACCCTTACCCTTCCACGCCAGCCCCCCCACCAGCACCAGTGGTGGAGCCATCACCAGCACACATAGAGTCGCTAGTGCCCATGGGGTTTGACCGCTCAGCAGCAGAGGCAGGGAACTGCCGTGCTTTCACTCACTCTCCCGCTCTCTACCCCCCCCACCCCAATCCCACCACTCCAGCCCCCCCCACCGCCACCAGTGGTGGAGCCGTCACCAGCGCACATAGAGTCGCTAGTAGCCATGGGGTTTGACCACGCAGCAGCAGCAGCAGAGGCAGGACCCAACAGAACCACAGGAGAGAACGACTGCTTTGCTTCACTCACTCTCCCCCTCTCTACCCCCCTCTCCCGCCCCCACCCTCCCACTCCAGCCCCCCCCACCGCCACCAGTGGTGGAGCCGTCCCCAGCGCACATAGAGTCGCTAGTAGCCATGGGGTTTGACCGCACAGCAGCAGAGGGGGCGCTCAGGAGAGCGAGGAATGACCTGCATCTAGCCACTAACCTGCTGCTGGAGGGGTGACAATGGGTGCGGAGGGGTGAGGAGGGGTGACCGGAGAGGAGGTCATCAGTCCTATCAGTTTCAGTTGTCGGTGCTTGTTGGAGCACTGGGCGTTGAAAACGGGCATAAAAAACAGGAGTTGAATGAAACCAGGCGTGAATGAGGAGAGGACCCTTATGAGATGTGCACCATGCACTGAGAGAGGAGAGGAGGACCGTGATTTGTGTGCTGTTGCTGCTAATGGGTGGCACTGGCAGGTACTGCTAGCGGTGCCGGTAGTATTTACTGCAGGAGAATGTTGAAAGCCTGCGCAGGGCCTGAACTGGGCTGGGTGTGACGGCTGATTGATGATGCTCGTTAATGCGTACACCATACTCACCCTGGATATGCCCCCCCTTAACCCTTAATATTGGCCTCGGGGATTATTGTGAGGCAAAGGGGCGATACCGGTAAGTTGTTTTTTTTTTTTCTGGTAGTATAAACATACCATTATTTTCCTGTTGGTTTCTCTCCTCTCCCCCCTTTCTAGAAACTAGCGATACAGTAAGCCAAATAACACAAGCCCGTTCAAGGGAAAAAGAAAAGCCTTGGGGTGCTTATTTGGGTGATTATGGTTACCGGTAGGGCGAGATATAAGTCTGGACTGGATACAAATAGGTGCAACAAAGCTTGCACCGCTGAGGATGAGTGACCTGTCTGTTGTGGGCTGGAACAATGTGACATGCAAGAAAAGGGGTGTTCCGAGAATTGAACTCGGGACCTCTCGCACCCTAAGCGAGAATCATGCCACTAGACCAAACACCCATGATAGAGAAGTAGAGCAGCAAAATACGGCGCTATGAACACTTCTGCTTTCATGCCCCACCATTAGAGGTCTGTCCATCTCCTTGCCAGTTACTCAGCACCTGGAGCCCTCTCTTTGGGTTACTGATGGATGGGGTGCCGCCACTAGCAAAGCGCCACCTCAGCGCCACATCGCACGGGTCGGCATAGTCGATGCCCACTCTTGGCCCGACCAGTACGGAGGCGACAGGTGGCGCATCTAGAAGCTCCAAGCCCCCTCCCGCGCACATGCACCCCATGCACATTCACGTATTCACGAGCATATACAACCTCATGCACCCACAGCAACACACTCACACTTCTGCACTCACCCCCTCCACTTCCTTTCCCCCTTCATTCCCCTCCAATAGTGTGATTTTCCCGGTTCATGCACACACGTACCTGGTTCGTCGTGCAGTGGATGGTGTTTTGAGATGTCTCAAAACTCATTACATGCAGCCCTCAAAGCACTCACCATTACATGCAGCCCTGAAAGCACTCGTCATTACATGCAAGCACTTACCCGGTTCGTGCAGTGGATGGTGCGACCACTGCGTTGTCAGGGCCAGCGCTGCTGCCACCTGCACACACGCAACAGGTACAGTGTGTTGCATTCATGCATTCATGCATTCATGCATTCATCCATTCATGCATTCATCCATTCATTCATTCTACGGTGCGAGTTTCGAGTCGACTCTGAAGACACCCCAGTGCTGCTGCCACCTGGGTCCTGCATACGCGCAGCAGGCATAGTGCAACTCATTGTTGGGGTGCCACACGCAACAGGCACGGTGCGATTCATTCACTCCATGGCTCATCGCACGGGGCAGAGCAGGGGGCAAGGCGACCTCTGAGTCGATGGGCCATTGGCAGATCAGAATTCGCACGCCTGCAATAGCCACAGTGTAACTCATTCTCCTGCCATGGCACGGGACAAGGCATGGGCTGCAGTAATGCAAGGAGAGACGGGTGGGGGAGTGCGGGAGAAGGGTGGATACGTCGAGACACGGAAGGGAAGTGGGTAACCGGTAAGGGAGTGGCAAGAACAGTGGGGGATAAAGAGTGCGCCTTTTTGCCACCCACACTTCCCGAACGGTGGGAATGCGTTTATTTAACCAGAACTTCCCACTCTTCTTCCTCCCCTTCTTGCAGCTTATTCCCACCCACACCTTTTTCCCCTTCCCCTCCTTGCATGTCCCCTTCCCCTCCCAAGCGCCTCTCCCCCCTCACCTTTCCTGGGCCGGCCAACAGAGCAGGAGTCAGGGCCTGGTTCCCTCTCCGCTCCCTGATTGTGGCAATGCCTGCATGCAGGGGAATGGAGTGGGTGTGTGTGTGTGTGGTACGGGGAGAGAGAGGGAGTACAGGGAGGTGTGTAGGACGGAGAAGGGAGTAGGGAGTAGGGAGTAGGGAGTAGGGAGTAGGGAGTAGGGAGTAGGGAGTAGGGAGTAGGGAGTAGGGAGTAGGGAGTAGGGAAGACAAGACGTGATGATTGAGTCGGCATAAAAGTCACTGGGTAGAGTCGGCTCTTGGGGTGTCTCGAGAGCACATGGAGGGGAAGGCAAGTGCAAGCAGCTGGATGAGGACGAATGGAGGAGGGAGCAAGGAAGGGAGAAAAGAAACGGTCGAGCTTTGGGTTCAGGTGAGGAAAAGGGGGAAAGAGAGGAAAGGGGGGGGCGGTAGACTAGGGAAGACCCAAAAAGCAAGGAGTGCTTTGTGAAACGAGGATGAAATGAAACCAAAAACAGCAGTAGCCCTCTTGTCACCCCCTTCCCTCCCTCTCCCCTTCCCCAATCCCCAATATCTCTCCTAATCCAACACCCCTAAACACACACTTCCCTCCTGCCATTGAGGTGTAAGGTGCCTCAAATTGAGGCGCCTCAAAATACACCTTTTTGAGGCGCCTCAAAATACACCTTTTTGAGGCGCCTCAAAATACACCCCAATCCCCAATATCTCTCCTAATCCCACACCCCCAAACACTCACACTTCCCTCCTGCCACTGCCCTCTCTCCTTTCCACAACCGTCTCCTCTTCCCCCCCTCCAACACTCCCCCCCATCCCCGCCCCTTAACACCTTACCTCCCATGGCCTCGCATGTGCGCACAAGGCAGGCGGCTGCAGTGCCGTCTTTGCCCTCCCCGTCCACTTCCCTCCTGGCCCACCCCGTTCTCCTCTCCTCACCCCTCCCCCCTCCCCCCATCCTCCACCAATCACACCTCACCTGCCACGGCCTCGCATGCGCGCACAAGGCAGGCGGCTGCAGTGCCGTCCCACACAGGTGTGCACTAATGTTGAGCTTTGAGTCGACTCTCAACAGCCACCCCCGTTCCCACACAATTCCCTCCTCCCATTGCGCCCTCTCTCCTCCCCGTCCTCCCCATTCCTCCTCGTCCACTCCCCATCACATCGCACCCTCCACGGCCCCACATGCGTGCACAAGGGAAGCAGCCAGAGTGCCATCCCGGCCCACCCCTTTCTCCTCTCCTCACCCCTGTCCTCACCCCTCTCCCCTCCCCCCATCCCCCACCCTCTCAAACCTCACCTGCCACGGCCTCGCATGCGCGCACAAGGCACGCAGCTGCAGTGCCGTCCCGGTCGGCTGTGATGTTGAGCATGTGGTGCAGCCCGTAGCACAGATACACGTACGCACGGCCTGGGGGCCCGAACTGGAAAAATGTGGAGGGCAGGGGAGAGAGGGGGGAGAGAAGGGGGAGAGAGGGTGGAGAGAGGGTGGAAGAGGGGGAAGAGAGGGGGGAGAGAGGGGGGAGAGAGGGGGGAGAGAGGGGGGAGAGAGGGCGGAGAGAGGGCGGAGAGAGGGCGGAGAGAGGGGGGACGGAAGAGGGATGAGAGGGCTGTGATGTTGAGCATGTGGTGCAGGCCGCAGCAGGGATTCATTCACACACACGCACACACACAACACAGATGTGGCTGTGGTGTGGCCAGAAAGGTGTAGGGCGGTTGGAGTGCAAACAGGAGGGGGGCAAGAAGACCAGCTCTGGGGCAAACGTATACTCACTTCACGTGGCACTGCACGGGGGAATAAACCATGTGCCCACACCACACGTGTGTGTACGTGAAGTGAGTGAACTTTTGAGACCTCCCACAAATACACTCACTTCACTCACGTGGCACTGCACGGGGGAATAAATAAACCATGTGCCCACACGTGTGTGTGTGTATGTATGAGGCACGGCCACACAGAGAAGAATTTCACAAAGCAGCACGGTACCAACCAGTGGGGCAGTGCGCGGAGTGCACCCAAAGCGGGCATGGCATGCCGTGTCCCCCGCTGTGTATGCCTCCACCTGCCTTGTTTCCATGTCACATGCAGCAGCATAGGCGCATGCAGCAGGGCGGGAACGGGGGGGAAGGAGGGGGTTGTGAAACGGGTCGAAGAGGGGGAAGGGATGAAGGAGTGGGGGAGAGGTGGAGGAGATGAGGAAGGGAAGGAGAATAGACGAATCAAATGAAATCGGACTGGCTAGAGCTTTGAGGCAGGATAATTTTCTAAAGTGCTGAGGAGACCTTTGAGGTAGCTAAGGTGTCTACATAAACGGCTCGAGAAACGGCTTGACAAAGGCCCAAGAAAAACGCCTGCAATGAACGACTACAAATGGGATCAGAATTGACTAGAGCTCTGACGCAGGTAAGGAGATTGATAAAGCAGTAGGAGGGAGGGAGCGAGGGGGGGAAGGAACGGGTGGGGAGGGTAAGAGAGAGAGGATGGGGAGGATGGGGAGGAGAAGCAGGAGAAACAGATGTGGCAAACTTGTATTTACATCCCATCCCATCCCATCCCATCCCATCCCATCCCATCCCATCCCATCCCATCTCTTCCCATCCCATTCCATTTCCCCTTCTTCCCCCCTCTCCCCCCTCTTCCCCTCCCCCCTCTTTCTCCTCCCCCCCACCCCCCTCCCCCCATTGCGCACCTCTGTGATGCGCAGCACCACGTCGTCTCGCAGCAGCAGCTTCCCCAGCAGCAGCGGCACCCCAGATACCACCCCCACACTCCCTACCCTCCACCCCCTCCCCCCCAGTGCAGCGCACCTCTGTGATGCGCAGCACCACGTCATCTCGCCGCAGCAGCTTCCCCAGCAGCAGCGGCGCCAGCTCTTCAGCAGGGTGGCAGCAGAAGGACGCCGGCAGACGCCTGTATGAGTCACCACCGCCGCCACCGCTGCCGCCGCTGCCACGGTCGCTGCCACGGTCGCTGCCACGGTCGCTGGAGGGGTTGTGGGCGCAGCCTTCGGGGGAGCTACGGGCGCAGGCTTGGGCGCAGGTATGGGGGAGGGCGGGGGGACGGGAGGCGGAGGGAATGGAGGCGGAGGGAATGGAGGCGGAGGGAGGGAGGGGAGTGGGGAGAGGAGAGAGGTTGGGAGAGAGGGGCGAGGAGGAGAGGGAGGAGGCGCGTGGGGTAGGAGTGGAAGGTGGGATGGGGAGAGGCGTGATCTGGCGAGGAGTGGGGGGAGAAAAGGTGTTGGAAGAATGATGAGGCGCCCCAAAAGCCACCTGGCGGGGAGTGGGGGAGGAAGATTCGGAAAGGAGAGGAGGAGAGGAGGAGAGGAGGAGGGGCGCAGCAAGGGGATTATATTTTGGGACTCTCTCGTGCCCTTGTTTCTGCTTCTGCTCCGCCTCTCACTGCCACAACACCTGTCAACCCTGCTTGATAGAACCTCCCCCACCTCATCCCCCACCTCATCCCTCATCGCCTTCCCATCTCCTCCCTTGTTACCTGTACCTCCATTTCCTTTCTCGGGAGAATCTCCCGCTGCTCCTTCATCTCCTCCCCTTCCACCGCATCCCCCTTGTTCGCCTCCTCCTCCTCCTTGCCGTTATCCCCGTCGCCGCGTGCTGCCCGTCTTCCCCCACTCCCCCGCCCCTTTCCGCCTCCCCCTCGATCCCCGTCCCCCACTCTGCGCCGTCTTTTCCCCCGCCAGCTGCGCCCTTCCGCCGCGGCAGCCGCCGCCGCCGCCGCTGCGCCGTCGGATATCGCCGAAGAAGCCATCACGACCGTCAGATGCGTCGCTGAAGTCTCCGCAGCTGCAGCCGGGGTCGCAAGGCTTTCCAGTATCCATTCTTATTTTCCGCCTGCGTTTGCGTCTCCGTCTGCGTTTGCATTTACGTGTGCGTTTGCGTTTACGTCTGCGTTTGCGTTAGCGTTTACGTTTGCGTCTGCGTCTCCTGTACGGACGCCGTTCCTTTCACGCCTTTTCGCGCCACCTGCGTGTTCCACTCCTGCTGCTGCAGCCGCCGCCCGCGCCGCCGCCGCAGATGCGACTCGCGCGGAAGCTACTACAGCGCCCGCTCTTCTCCGCGGGCGGAGAGAATAGGCGAAAGAGGCGAAAGCGTTGGCTGCGTCCATTTGCGAAGCGGGAAACCAGTGATCTTCGCCCAAGAAAAAAATCCCTATTCCTTACTGGGACCCTGTGTTGGACAGGGATGTCTGAGTGCAAATGCAGTCGCGAAATTAAGTGCTACTTTTAGCCAAGATTCCTGATACCCAAGTTGACTTACAGTATGCCTCTGTACCTGTAAGTGCTGGTTAAGCGCTGGTTTTGGGTCGCCTAACCGGGATTTAACTATGGGTTGTGGGACTAGCCCTTCAACCCCCCTTTACTCCCACATTTTCCCTCCTTTCCCCCGCATCCCCATCGTAAAGGTAAAGGTTACGATCTACAGCCGGGGTACCAAAGGGGGTTTCTGTTGGAGAATCGAGTTTCTGCCGCCCCAGCCCTTTGCACACAAGCAGCAGCAAGGGGGAATGTCGGCGATGAATCAGAGCTTCGGGAAGTACTTCGAAAGTTCCACCACCAATCAGATTTCAGCCGAAGACTCGATATAGTTCAAAGCTGCCTTCAAACCGAAGTGTTGGCAGTTTCTACAGGTTTCTACACATCAGAATCAGCTATAACAGAAATATCCAGAGTTTTCTTATTCATGCACCTCATGTGGCACTCAAAGTCACTCAAGGTCCATCCAATCTAGATTGTGCCCAAGTTACCAGGGAAGTTACATTGTCTATCAGCCTAGTTTGAGCTTTCAATCTGTCTTGTTTGTGATGCCTAGAGTTGTGCTTTAGTGGGCTTGTTAATCTTGAACATAGTGAAGTTTTACCTCATCCAGTCAATTCCAGCAGCCCTGATAAGACTTTCCAGCCAAGTTTCCAGCCCTCCAGTAGTCACAGCTACTCTGTTTTACAAGTTGGTATCAGAGGTTGTCGTTTCGATCAACCTAGCCCACCACGTTCCTATCCTAGCACCATACGAACATGGCGGGAGACAATCCATCTGGTCCTGCACTCCAGCCAGCCGGAGGAGCTTCAGAGTCAACATCAGCAGCTACTGGATTAGTGGAAGCAGTTGTACCAGGCAGTCCTTCAACAACATACTCACCACTCACCTCCTTCATGCCTAAGCTTCACCTCCCCAAGTTCAACGGCAAAGATTTTCCAACATGGGCAACTCAGTTTGAGCTCACTGCATCCCTTCTGGATCTGTGGCCTTACTACACTGGAGAAGCAGCCAAACCAGCAGCAGATGCTTCAGAAGCTGAAAAACGACTTTACGAACGACGCAACAAGGAGGCCTTCCTCTACCTACTCAATAGCATTCACGAGCAGCAGTTGAAGTCGCTCCTGCCCTGTTCTACCAAGGCAAACAGTGCAGAGGAAGCATGGAGCCGACTGAAGACTATGCACCAGTCAAAATCCGAGAGCAGCCAAGCCGAGATGTGGAGCCACTTCATGAATCTGAAGATGGAAGAAGATGAATCAGCACAAGCCTACCTACAACGAGCTGAAGCAATGCTGGAGGAAGCAGCAGCGATCGGCTTGGAGATTCCAGAGTCTCTTTTCAAGACCGTCATCCTCACCGGCCTTACACCGGAGTGGGACACTTTCCGTGCAACACTACAAGCGCTCCCGCAGTCAATGAAGAGTCGTGCGTTCATCTTTGAGGCCCTTGTCAACGAGCAGCAGAGTCGAGACCTTGCACGGAACAAGCGGAGTGACGAAGGTGCGTGGAGTGCTGCAGCAGCCACAAGATATGGCAACCAATTCCAGAGGCAAGGAAATTTCAGCCCAAACCGCCCTCAACCCTACTACGGTACGAAATTTCAGTCACCTTCCAACCCATACAAACCCTCTCGTTTTCCTCAGTCAAGTCCTCCCTATAAGTCCAGTCACTATGTCCAGCCAAGGCCTTCGATTCCCAATCAATACCAACCTAGGAATGCAAGAGTCAATATGCCAAGAGTCAATAATTTCAGCCAAGCCCCGAATGCTAAAAAGTTTAATTTTGAGTGTTTTTGTTGTCATGAGTGGGGTCACCCGTGGTATGCTTGTCCTAAGAAGCCTCCTAATTGGGTCCCCCCACCTCAGCTACTATCTGAAAAAGGTAAGGCAGCCATAGCAAATATAGCAAGTCATTCTACAAGTCAAGATGAGTCCAAAGAGTCCGATGGTCCTGTCCTTTTTAACGCTGCTACTTGCATGCACGTTTTCTCTACTAGTAGTGAGGAGTTTATTCTTGATAGTGGCTGCTCTGAAACCATGACTCCCTATCAGTCCATTCTCAAGGATTTTCAGCCCTCATATGACTCAAAAGCTGTGACTCTTGCTGATCTTGGCAAAGTACCAATCAAAGGAGTCGGCAAGCTTGAGTTCGAAAAGGATGGTAAGTCATTTTGTGTCAATAAAGCTTTTTTTGTTCCTGATTTGGGAGCAAACTTGCTCTCAGCCGGACAACTCGAAGAGAAAGGTGCCTCCGTTCTCTTGCAAGGGGGGAAAGCCAAAGTGTGGGACAGTGCAGGAAATCTGGTGGCTGAAGGCGAGCGTACCGGGCGGCTCTACAAGATGAAGTTGGAGACTAAGCGCGGTGCTAGCAACACGAAGAACGACGTTGTCTCGCTTCCCGCTGTTTCAACCGATCAAGTCAACAACAAAGGGAGTATCTCCCAAGCTGAGGTATGGCATGCACGCTTGGGGCACGTGGGAGTGCAAGCATTGAAAGAGTTGGTAAATCACAAGAGCGTGGAAGGATTGAGTTTGAATGAAAGTGCAGTCAAGTCCCTTTCTTCCGTTCCATGTCCATCTTGTGTGGAAGGTAAACTAGCTAGAAAGCCATTCTTCCCTTCTAAGTCTCAGTCAAGGGACCTCCTAGAGTTGGTCCACACTGATGTCTTCGGCCCCATGCGAGACCCTACTCGAAACGGTAAGAGATATTTGGTGTCTTTCATTGATGACAAGAGTCGTTTCTCGTGGTCCTTTTTCATCAACACCAAGGATGAAGTTCACAAGTGTTTCAAGCAATGGCTAGCACTTGTTGAGAGAGAGTCAGGGAAGAAGTTACTCACCTTGAGGTCGGATCGAGGAGGTGAGTACATGGGGAAAGCGTTTCAGGGGGAGTTGTTGGCATTGGGCATCAAACAACAGTTCACTTGTCCCTATAGTCCTCAGCAAAATGGAGTGGCAGAGAGGTTTCATCGCACTATCCAGGCTATAGCTACCACTTTCCTTCAGTTCAAAGGCCTTGACAAGCTCTGGTGGGGTGAGGCAATCACTATGGCAATTTATGTTCGCAACAGGAGACCCACAAGGCCCTTACCGGAAGGTGTAACGCCATATGAGGCTTGGTTTGGAGTTAAACCAGATCTGTTTATGCTTCGTGTTTTTGGTTCCATGGCCCAATACCGTGTTCCAGATGCAAAGAGACTGAAGCTGGACAGCAAAGCTCATTGGGGCCTCTTCATCGGCATGAGCAATGAGAGCAAGGGATGGGTCCTTTGGGATCCTGTCACCAAGCGAGAAGTGGTTTCAAGGGATGTTGTCTTCTATGAAGACATGTCCCTTGCAGGTTGGCATAAGTTTTCCTCTTCCTCCTCTCTACCCTCTATCCAACAGGAACCAGCAAGCGCACCTGAGGAAACAACACAAGAGGAGGAAGAAGATGACACCGATTCTGACCATAGCGGACCGATCATCGATCTCCCTCAAGCCGTCGTCAACGAGTCCAACCGTGCCATGCCAGTGCCACCAGCAGCTACTCAACCAAGTGGAGATGAAGTTCAGCCATCAAATGAAGACAATCCACCGCAGCAAGTCACCGTTCCATCACCACCAAAGGAGCAGCAGCCAACAGTCACAAACCAGCCAGCTATATCAACACCAACCTCACAATTTCAACGCCAACCGGATCAGCCCACCACTACGCCATCAAACCCATCACCAGCCATCACTCCAGAGGCAACTACAGAAGCTCATCATCATCCCATGCAGCAGCAATCAACAGCTACAAGACCCCAAGTACCTACATCAACACCATCTACGACTCTTCCTAGCAACAAGTCAACCGTCACCGCAACACCTCGTTCTCATACCACACGTTCATCACTTGTTCCAACGTCAAGCCAGCTCATAGCACGAGGATCACTTCAGCGAGTCACCACCAACACCAGCTCCAACAGTCCACTTCTTCACCCAAGACCTTTCTCAACTTCACCCCTACGTCCCGGATTCGGTCGTCATCAGTTACCACCATCTTCAACACCGAGCAACAACACCAACCAGCCCCAACCATCACCACCTCTCGACAAGGCAGCGTCATCATCAATTCCCAAGCTTCTAGTCTCAAGATCCCCACCAAGAGCATCTTCACAACCAACTATGCCGACAAACGTTTCAGCTTCACCGCCACGAGTCACCATACCTAATCCTCAAGTCAACACCGATAATCAAGATATTTCCACGCCAGGAGAAGAACAAGCAGCCGTGCCGCCGTCGCAGCCGATGTCGCAGCCGTTGTCTCAGCCGCAAATGACCGCATCAACGCAATCAAACACTGTGAGACCGAACCCTACCACTAATGTGTCTCAGCCAACTGAGGAGTTTGGTAAAGGTAAACGAGTCCGCAAGGTAAAAAAGCCCTTCAATTTCATGGTTGACATGTCATCAAGGTGCACATGTGAGGAGAGTGAGAATTGCATTCACAAGAAGGTAGAGGCAATATG